CAACTTTTATTTATGTTTATGTATTTCAAATGGACTAAGTGGAATTGAGCCCAGTAAGGGAAGACAAGACACTGTTTAGCTATTCTGTGACATAAATCATCATTCTGACTTTTGCCTAGTACAGGCTAGTGTCCTGATGACTGTTGACCCCTCTGCTGCAAACATATTCCTGTGGAATGTTCACCCTGAGAATTTATGGCTTCTTAAATGATGGATAGAATGTCGTGGATTTTTTCTGAATTTGGCCTTTGATTTGCATAAAATGGCATAGGACTAACAAAGCTGGGATTATGCCATGAATATTAAAGTGGTAGACAAACTCAGCTGCCCAACAAAACAGAGAGAATAAGCTACTTTTGCCATTAGAGAGGAAGACTCATTCCCAAGCACCTGAGTGAGCTTCATGAGAGAATCACTTTTAACTGATCCTCTTTAATAGCAGCCTGTGGCCAGAAGCTGTGCTATAACAGCTTTATTTGGCTTTTTAAAACCATGGTAAAACAGGTTATTTTCATTCATATGTGTATAAGGGAGGAGGGGAGTGTGTCTCTGTGCTCTTCATACTAAATCCTATTACAAGCCCTCCATGAAGCATTAATATGTAAAAGTCACCCCCCTGCCATCTAATCTCGTATAATAAGGGCTTGGATGCATTATTAATTTTTGTCACACATCTGAGGCCCCCTTTTATCACCCAAACCCCCCATCTAAATCCCTTGTTGCATCATTAAATTGTGAAAACAGCTTCATCATTCGTGACAGAGAAGTGGAAGGAGCCTGAGCCATATGTCAGAGGGAGCAGCAGTACCAGGCACCAGTTTCCCCCAGTTCCCTTCCTGCAGTGACTGGTGCTTAAAACAGCCTGCAATGCAGTAGGGTGACAAAATGATCTTGGGCTTTTTCTCCAATATTGGCTTCTTTGCCTGGAAACAGATGAGCCCAACACCAGTGCCTGGGACCAGAGCCCAGTCCAATCTGCAGGGTTTGAGCTGAACATGAAAGTGAGGTTGGCAAACACAACTCTGGGGGTTCTGCCTTGCAGTGCAAGGTCAGCTCATGTCCTGAGAAGTTCAGAAGTTGGCTCTTCTCTAACCATCCCCAAATCCCCTGCTCATGCTGTGAACTGATCGTTGTTTGCAAATCAGTAAACACACAGTATTTCTAACTGCTAAAGGGATGGAATAATTTCTCTTTTTAAAACAGGAAAACATAAAGATGCTTATCTGTTATCTAAACATAAAGATGGTTGTGTTTTTCTAGGGAAACTTCTAGGAAATCTTTCTACTTGTATTTCTAAACGAATACTTTACCTTACATCTTTGTGCTTGTTGTGATTAAGGCTGAGTTACAGAGAAATATTCTGATTTCACACTCCTGACACAGTTTCAGTGGAAATCTGTGGGACTCTGAGACAAGATGCACTGACAGACAGTTGCCTGAAATATCATTTGGTTTATTCATGCAAATAATCCTATCAGATTACTTGCTGAGGAAGAAGGATTTAGCCCTTAAAAACAATAAGTATGGCACTTCCAAAACAAAGATGAATTTGAAGTGAAAGGTTGATTTGTGTACTTTCATTCAGATTAGGATGACAATGATGAAGAGTTCAACATAGATGAGAGATAATTGCATTGTAGAGAAATGTAGTATAATTGTGAACAGTGCCAGGATTTGAGGTTTCACAGATAATAGGATATATATGTCATTACCACAGGATTATAATATGACTTTAATCTCTTTAAAATTGTCATTTTATTCTGCTCTTTGTGTTTCTTTGGGTAAGAAAGATCTAATGTTTGAGTGTACACAAATGAGCTAAAATGGTCACTCAGCTTTGTTCTATAAAAAACATATAAACCTGTGATTTTTGCAGACCTGTTTTTGAAAAAGAGCTTAGCACATACAGCCAAAACCTTCATTTTTATCTCAAATCTACAACTGCAAACCTGGGAATTCATTTCCTATTGTGTGATCTAACAGTACCATATTAATTTCAAAGAATCCTGATTTACAGCACTTAAACTGTTCACTTAGGAAATCAGTGAGGAAATATTGCCACAGCATTTTGGTACTGCTTTTCATAGGACAAGGGCTTTGTTATGGAGGTCCAACATGGCTCTTACAGAATTTTTAAAGGATGGATCAGAAGTTTAAAATATAATGATATTTAAATCGTCTTGAAATGAGGTGGTAAAACCCAGAACAGTTTCACACCTTTCCATGTGTGTGTGACAGCACAGCAGGGAGTTTATTCACAGACAGCTGCTGCTTTGCAATAGCATGAATGTGGAATAGGGAATATTAATTTGAATAAAAATGTTTTATTTCCAGATTTAAAACAAAAGATGTGCTTTGTTATAGAAGCATCTAGCCCAAAATTCACTGTGGCATTAACCTTTATGTTACACTTGATTATTCCTTATATTTTGCTTAATTATCCCTCTATTGCAAACATTTTACAATAGCTAAAATATAACTTCCAATATAGGAATTCAAAACCCAATGAGAAGAACCTGTCATTTAATTTTTCTGGTTGGATCAATGGTGACTAGTCAGTATGGTTAATATTTATGGAGTTTTTTCATTTATATTGCTGTCATGTGCTGATTCCTCTTATATCTTTTCTTGAGACTAAAGCATACACTTATACCCAGCAATTTTTTTCCAGTGGAATTATATTCATATCTAGTAATCAGATTACCTCCTAGTAATCTTTCTCTTATACTGATATCCTGAATACACAGTTCTTGCTATTT